ACACATGGCATGACACTGCCGGGAACAGTTTCCAGGTTCCAACCAGGGTAACTAGATCTGGCATGGGGAGGGAAGCCGACACTACCTAACAGGTAAAGTTGTGTCGGCATCTACAGTAGGAACTGATTCGTATAGAATTGAAGTAAAAGGAGAGGTTGGAGGGGTTAGGGGCTTGTGGTTAGTCGAAAGTGGGGCTCAAACAATCGAAAGCTTTAAGCAAGCCCTTACAACAGCCCACATCCTTGCATGCCCCAACCAAAACAAACCCTTCATCCTTACAACTGATGCATCTCAAACTGCATTAGGGTACATTTTAGGCCAATTGATTCTCATGACATAACTTGATATGATGTTGTTAATTTATGTCTTTTGACAATAAGTATCTTCCTTGACATTAGTCCTGTTCTGCTTTTAGGAACAAACAATGTTAGTTGGTAACGTTTCTTTTGCTCGTCAGTTTCGGTTATTGCAAAACACTATAGTTATTTATATATACGTTTATGTTCTATTTTTTTCCAAGTAATGATTCTTAATGCCTTGGTCATTTCACATCACAGTCAACAACTGTTTGTGACATATCACAGTGGAACAAGCGTAGTCAATAACCTTGTCCAAGGATACAACGCAGTGACTCTTGAAATGGAAGATTTGAAATGAGTATTAATAAATAAGGGTTACAGGCAATTCTGTCTGTCATGGTCATGTCTCTCTGTCAAATATTATGCCTTTGCTCACGAAATACTGTATTGATGAGGATGGCCATATTGCGGTCAAGACTTTTTATTGAGGTCAAGATTTTTTCAAGCAGGGTGAGTGTGTGAGTGAGTTTGGTTTAACGCCGCTTTTATCAGTATTCCAGTCATTTCGCGGCGTGTCAGCTTAATGTGGGAGGAAAGCCCGAAGTGATGCAGGTCTCAGACGTTCACCACTTCGATAAAACCCACGAGCCTGGGTATAGTGCTGACAAACCTTGAAACACAATCGGGGCGAACCGGGATTCAAACCAACAATCATAGGTTTCTGGCGTGCCTAATGGACGCAACTCTGTACAGCGAGTCACGGCGCCTTAGACGCCTGGGCCACCCGTGCCCCTTTATTTTCAAGAAGATGGAAGCAGAGTTTTTTATTTACACAAAATTATGAGCTGTGTTGTCGAGAATCAAATGGTCCGTCCCTTCCAAATGCGGTTTGTAAATATTCGAGTCTGGACCAGACAGGTCAGTGATTAATATCATGAGCATCGATCCACGCAATTGGGATCGATGACATGCATCAACCAAGTCAGCGAGCCTGACCACCCGATCCCGTTAGTCGCCTCTTACGACAAACATAGTCGCCTTTTACAGCAAGCATGGGTTGCTAAAGACCTATTCTACCACGGATCATCACGGTCGTTTGTTTAAAGGGATATCACGAGTGAGTAATGTTTAACGCCTCTTTGAACAGTATTTCAGTTATATCATGGCGTGAGAGACAGATATTGGTGGAAAGCCCGAAGTGATACATGTATTCGGTTCTGGGATTCGAAATAACGTCTTAAAGAAACGATCCAAAACGATTCGTCACATCTTACACACTCCAGTCAACAAATTACATATACACAAAGAAAAAAGTTAAGCACACCCTAATATATTTCATTATTGGTTGGTCCCAATGTTTGTAACAGTCATGTAGAAATAATTACAGGAAGAATTATGTTTTCTCGAGATTATGTAATCAGTCGTGCGTGACGAAAGCTCACGTGCCATGCATGGTATGCCAGTGCAGCATGCTACCCTCGAGTATCTCTGAAAGCAGTATATCCAAACGTTAAAATTGCTTTTTAAGTTCGGTTTTAAACAGTTATTCCATGGCATTGTGTGACCATGGCACGAAGGCGATTATCAAACGCCTCAAGATGGCAAATAATCGGCATGCATAACGCAGGAATGTCTTGTAATGCTATTGGTAGGAATTTGGGGTAGCATCACACTGTCGTTGGGCGTTTAGTGGAGAAACATGCACAAACCGGTGATGTACAGGGCCGTCCCAGATCCGGAAGACCTCCTGTGACGACACATCGCGAAGACAGGAGCCTTCTTCGCCTCATACGCCGAGAACCCTTTTTAGCAAGTACTCGTCTGAAACAGCCGTGATTGCCCAACACCAGAACCGGAACCGGCTGAAAGCAGCTGGACCGAGGGATAGACGAGTCATAAAGCGTCCCTAGTTGAGATATCACCAGAAAGCTGCTCGTTTAGCATGGTGTATTGCGCGACATAACTGGAATGTGAGAACTTTGAGACGGATCCATTGGTCAGACGAAAGTCGCTTTCTCCTCCACGTCACTGATGGAAGAACGAGAGTTTGGAGGCACCGGAACACGGCCTACACTCCCAAGAACATTAAACCGACTCTTACATACGGCGGGGGCTCAGTAATGGTTTGGGGGTGTATATCTCATGATTGCAGGTTGGATTTGGTCACCATAAGGGGCAACTTAACAGGGGCTCAGTACATCCGGGACGTTTTGAGGCCAGTCGTCGTTCCTCATTTTGACAACCACCCTCTTGCTACACGACCTCAGTAAATGGATGGCAATGCCAGGCCTCATCGTTCGCATGCAGTCGTGGATTACATGAGGGCCAATGCAATAACGACTCTACCCTGGCCAGCAATGAGCCTAGATTTGAACCCCCTTGAATATGATTGGGATATTCTGGGATGCGCATACAGGCACGAGAACCTCCTGAACAAGATTTACGCCAATTGGAAGCAGCATTGGATCAGGAGTGTGTTGACCCATGAACAGATCCAACGTCTGACTGGAGGCATGAGACGTTGGGTGGAATGCGTCATCCGTGCACGTGGCGGTTATACCCGCTACTGATCTGTTTCACGTGTCATGTCAAGTAGAGACTTTAGGGAATATTTTCACATGAAACATCAAACGTAACTCGTTTACTTAATCCTGCAGCTCCATACTTTATTTTAGGTATTGTCTAAGGTCAAAAACAGTACCTGTGTTGCCATGCTGTTTTTGTCAGTAAATTTCAATCACAACTCCAATATCTTCTTTATTTGTTGTCAAATGTTTGTTCTATCCGATGACATTGGTATCGCCCAGCTCCTGTGGTCAGTCATCCCATGCCATGATTTTTGCCATCTGTCATGGTTCAGAAATAGGGGTGTGCCCTAAATTTTTTCTTTGTGTATAATATTTTCATTTCTGTATTTTTATAGTATCTATTTTCAACTCGTCTAATAACGCTACCATTTCTGAATATAATTATATTTTTATTTATCCATACTGACATATTTTCGATTTTCAAGGTCAAGGTAACCCTTTTTACTTTTAAAAGTTGCTTGGTTGAATGTGTCATGTCAGAAAATATATTATTAGACACTAAAATCATGACTATCGGACAATGTTAACTGTGTTTGTGAATTTCACCGACTGCCAAAAGTGCGTTGACCTTTCAACGTTTTTGGCCATAGCTCCTCCATTTAAGGTCGGAACTATAACAAACTATATATTTCTAGGTTCCTTATGACTGGACGAGTAATTTGATATGCATATCGACACAATTTTGAATTTTGACCCGTTTGACCTTTGTTGACCCTTCCCCAAAATGCCCGGGATTTTCAACCGGGCAGCCCAAGTCCAAATTGTTCAGTATACATCAGGAAACTCAAAAACACTTTCAAACCTTTGTTTCCATGATTTGGACCTACAGGTTGGTCCTTGACTAAAAGCATTCTTATAAAACTCCGATGGCAAACCTTCACATCCTTGAGCTTTACCAGATTTAATGATTTTATGGCCCGTCTTACTTCATCTTCCGATATAAAATCCGACAGTATATCCGCATTATTGTAATCTTCACAGTTCAAACCATCATGTTCCTTAAAAAACTCGGATATCAGTTTGCACCGACGTTTTTGGAATATACGAGATTTTTAAAATATGTATACCGTGTAAGTGGGGACAAACTTTCCCCATCACCTTTCCTGCACAACAGTGATTTAAGGTGCGCCAAAATACGCGACAATTTCTATCACCCACTGCCGAGTTACTGCGATCTGTTGTTTCTTTATTGGAAGTCAGCTGCTTTTCCTCAAATGTCTTTTCATAATCTCGTTTTGACTTTAAGTGCATTGTTTCTTTATTTTCGAAGAATATGTAATCATATCTCATCCGTTTTTTGACTGAACATTCCTCATCAAACCACCCAGGTTGTTTAATTGCAGCCTTAAAATTTGTCGGCTTCTTTTCCAAGTGCGCGTCAATGGTCTGAGGGAGTGAGTGAGTATGGTTTTACGCCGTTTTTAGCAATATTCCAGCAATTTCACGGCGGGGGGACACCAGAAATGGGCTTCACACATTGTACCCATGTCGGGAGTCGAACCGGGTCTTCGGCGCCCAATGATCTGAAATAAAGTCCACAGTTTGTCAGCAGCCTCGTTTACATTTACAAGAAAGCTGTTGATGATATAATGATATAGAAGAGATATTGTCTGTATAGGACTTATATGCATCCTCGGACAACGCATATCTGGGAACTTTCATTATAATTAATGTGTTCTGGTCGCCCGGTGACGGCGGCTGACTAATAGAATGTAATAATTGACAGGATATGGGCAGGTGGTTAGACTCCGTTCTGCTGTGTACATATATAATCTTTGATAGCATTAGAATTGCTCAAAGATACAAGAAAACAATCTATCTAACTAGTTCCATTTGGGCCTATGTAGGTAAAACATCCAATGCTTGTCATAAAAGGAGACTGGTGGGTTCGCTGACCTGGTTGATGCATGTTATCGATCTTAATTGCGTGGATCGATGCTCTTGATGTCAATCACTGGATTGTCTGGTCCAGATTCGATTATTTTCAGACTGCCTTCATATAACTTGAATATTGCTGGTTGCAGCAATAATAAAAAAACAAACAAAGAAGGAATGTTGGAGGGGAAGTGCAACTAACATGTCATGTTATACTTGTGTAATTAAAAAGAACGCATTTTTAAAAAAAATGTAAGACTTTATTTTCCCTTCCTCACATGACATGGAATCGCCTGAAAATACATGCATGACTTCAAAATGTACAAAACAGTATCACATATCTCAACACTGATAATATGAATAACTTCAATACTGTTTGACAGATGGAAAAGATGTACCAAGGTCACAATAGCATATCTATGTGTAAATATATCAAAATGTATCAAAATATTCTAATGTATTTAAATCCAAAATAAAATATTTGCCATCTTAATTTCATATTATTTTAAGAGAATACAATTACATAGACCGAATGAGTGGCTATTGTAAAGGCGGATCTCAATCAGTTTGTTGACCACCTTCTGCATAGATGATTAAATCAATTTGTGCAGTGATACCAGTTCTGCATTAACATCCACTGCACAGGTGCAATGGTGCATTCTTTCAGCCTCAGTACGACTCACAATGTACGCAGTACACAAGATGCATCACAAGTTATCACTATCTGATAACGGACAATAACCCATGTATACTACCCAACATTGTCTCAGATCAGATCTCAGTTCTCACAACCATTAAATATATATTTGAGGACATCATATTACAGGTCATGTCAGAATGACCTTTTGTGAACTTTGACTGACTAATGAAATGACTTACAAGAAGTCAACATTGGCCAATCAGAAAGCAGCTCTCTTGAGCTAAACGGCAATAGTTTCAAACTGACGATTTCCATTCCATGATAAATATTGATTTAAAATTTGAAAATTGAACAAAAGAGAATGCTCAAATGTCTAGGTTGCATGCTTCCAAAACGCACTCCAACTGTCACTTTCACTCTCTGGTAGGTGATGCTCTGATTGGTCGGATGAAAGGTTATTCTGACATGACCCATAATAGGATGACCTCAGATCTTTGTTTATCGGTAGCAACAACTAACCCTGAATTTTTAATTAATGCTGGTGAAAAAGTTCACTTGGTGCTACATTGTCGGGTCAGGAGTGTTGACCAAAAGGCTTTTATTGTGGCCTCACAGAACTATTACCCATTCTAAAAGATGAAAATGATCGGTACATGTGATCCAGCGTGGCATGACTGACATGCCGCAAGTCCCGCGGTTCCAGTTGGCAGGGTTCTTTCACTTATCTTGTCAACACAAATCTGACGAAGTTTTGGTGATTAATTATTTTAGTATTTAGCAATTTATTACTTCAAATAAAAATTTAGTTTCGGCCGAAATTAAAGTGTATGTTTGAATTCAGCACTACTAAGTTTACAAACAGTTCATAACAGCACATAAATTCTAAAGGTGCTTCAATTTGGACATATGTTTGAAGTTTTACCCCAAACAGGAAATATCAAGTTGTGTCCTTCAGGATGAAATGATGTTACATACTGAACCGCAAAAGAAACATCACTTCATGAAAAATATTTCCCATTGACATATCGATGCTTTTTTTGGAGGTGCCCTTTTTTTACATTAGTAAGTATCCAAATTTAATGTTCACGGCCAGAATGTGACACAAATATGGAAAAAATGGAAAGCCAAAACACGGCTTAACAAACGACCATGGTACAAAATCCCGAATAACATCCATGAACATCGAAATTCACTTGCGTTTCCTTGAGTCTTTTCTGATAAACGGCACCTCAAGGAGGAATGAAAGACAAATCTAATCTATGGCAATCTTTCCGAGGCAAGAGAGTTAACTGACTTTAAAAGTCCAGTTTCCATCCTTGATGAACTTGGCTGGAATTCCTGAGCTCGATCGTAGCGCCGCCAGTGGCTATTACCAGTTATGTCCCTTCTAAGGAAACTGGACTTTTATAGTCAGTTAACTCTCTTGCCTCGGGAAGATGATCTATGTCCAGATCAATTCTTTTTCACATTTTCTTGATTTCCAAGCCATATATGCCCCAAATGGAAAGACCCCTGTCTAGATAATGGGGACTTAATTTGCCAAAAACTATTAAATTTACCATTTTACAATTACTATTGCCATGTTATTGTTATTAAGCATGCATATTTTTAATTTGTTTGTATCTTTAATGTTTTGACTTTTGAAAACTGAAGGGCAAGGTCATCAAAGACGTAAAAATGAATTGGCCTGATGAGCATCATTTAGCTGCAAAAGCTGCATTATGTATAATACATACTAAGCATACTAACTAAAAATGATTGCACTTAATTAAAAGATTTTAAAATGCATCAACTGACTAGGGTCAATGAAAACAATAATTTTAAAAAGATTTGATTGTAAACAGATATCAGTTAAATTTATAATAAAACTTAGCACTAAGTTGCATTCAATTTTTTAAATATAGTGCAATATAATTTTAGAGTACATTTTTTTTTTTAATTAGTTCTCCTTCTACCATATTTACAAGGAATTACGTTGATCCTCTGTGAAGGTGCTGGCCTCGTACGGGCACCGTTCCTCAAAGTAAAAACAATCACACGCATTGCTTGGTGTGTCGCTCATACCATCAGTCACTGGTTTGACTGACCAAGACCTAACTACTTACAGGTTGTCATGGAAACTGAATATTGCCGACTTCTTTATCAACACCTAGATGCTGTTGTCATGAGTTTCCTAGTCATAAGGTGGGAGATGTTTCTCTTTCTACATATGTAAATGACAGACTACTTTGAAATACAAACTTAAAGGCAATGAGTTAACTGGTCATCTTCAGGAAACGTCTGAAAGAATATAAAACTAACATCTTTGACATATGTTTGATTAAATTGTCAACAAATTTATTTTTCTTAGCAAATACTTCGTGAAGCAAGATTCTGGAAAGGTGCTCTTGATTTTGGTTTCGGGTTATATCTCAAGAATGATGACGACATACATTCTTTTACCAGCAGTGTTTCTTTCAGTTATAAATTTACTGGTTCACTTGCAAGGCTTAAAGATACTGATACACGCAATATTTTGGACCGATAGGGTTAAAGTTTACCATTTCATGGCCTATTTTAATGGAAATTAATACTGGTAATTACAGCTAACTGGAAACACTGACCTAATATCGCTGCAGCCAACCTGTCACCCTACTGTAATCGATTGATCTGACAACAGTGAGGTGAGGTGCAAGTTTATTGCACTTAAATAGCAACGTGCATGCACATGTGTGTGTGTGGCTGCTTTTACTAGTCCGGAATGATGCCGATTTATAGTGCTAGCTCACTGAGATACCATGCCGCAGTTTAACATGAATACCCCACTCAGACACAGAATACTGACTCCGAGCCGACCAGTCCTTGTTTTAGCCCCTTAATGCCGAGCGCCAGACAGGGTAACAACAAGTACCATCTTTTAACGTCTTTTGGTATGACATGCCCAGGGATCGAACCCAGGACCTTCCGCTCTCCGGGCAGGAGCTCTACCACTAGACCACGGAGGTGGTCGATCTGACAGCAGTGTCTGTGTTACCATGGTTACAGGTCTAAATGTACAGTTTATGTTCGTGACTCCTTGGAGCCTGAAACACATTTCCTCTTACAGAGAATAAAATAAGACAAATACAACACAATGGGGCTGGGACGGATAACTCGGTTACTCAGGTAGGGTGGGTATTGAGTAGTACCCAGGTACCCACAGGACTATCCGGACCATCTTTAGTAGCATGATATATTGTTTTTTGACAAAAATATCTGTCACTCCATGGTTACACTACAAATGAGTAATGTCCACATTTTTTTCTGACTCTGCACGCATTCCTTCTGACTTTCATATGTTTGAATTAAGATAAAGCTTAAGTCAGTTTCAGGGTATGCATGACCAGATTGTTTTATACTGTATCTAAATACATTTTGCCAGGGTTACGGTCAAAGTATATTGTACAGACAATATCAGTTGAAATTAGGATCCATATTTAAATCCACTGACCATAACAAACAGGATGTCTTAAATTGGGACTATATCAGTCAAGAAATACACTGAAATACCAAAAACAGTATTATATATACATTTCCCCAAATTATTATTTACATATCACATATTCACTTTTAATTAAAAACTTTTAACATTCTATTTAACAATACATAATCTTTCATGTTTAAAACAATTTTTACAAAATTTATACTTAACATGATTTATCACAAAAACCTTTTCTAATCTAGCATTTGGCTTACTAACATCTCATAATCTCATAATATAGCATTGTATGTTATCAGTAACACTTGATATGTCACAGGCTATGGGGGGGGAGGTGTGGCAGACGGCATCAGGTGGGGTGGGGTGGGGTGGGGTGGGGTGGGGTGGGGTGTTGAATAGGCTTTTATACCCCGAGAAAAAACTTTATGTGATACTTAAATTTGAAAGATTTAAAATAACCTAGAACAACTGCCGGTAGTACATTTGGTGAAATGTTTGCATGATAATGTATTATTTTCCATATTAAGTCAAATGTCAAATGATCAGTCAGGCATTGGTCTGATACTGCTCCCTCAATGATAGATTGGCAATTATGGAATGAATTTGACCAGAGGACAAAGTAGCATATACCGGCAGGTCTAATTGAAGGCCGACACGCCAACTGGATATGTCAAATTATGAAGTTAAAGAAGACTTTTAAATATTGGAAAAAGAATTATCAAATAAATTCAAACGACAAAATATGAGCAAGTCTGTGTAACCCAAGAATTGTTTACATATGCAAGTACTGACTTTATCTTGGGTCAAACAGGATCATGTTGAAATATTGTATAAGAAACATGGTTCCCCAAAAGCTATTGTACATGTTGTGTTATTGTTAGTCCATTGATCATTTCATTGTTTTCATGTCTAAAGATTTTTATTTCTTCTTAATTATGCAGATCCAAGGGGCCAAATCAGTAAAAAATTCTTATTAATTGTTTTGATGCACAACCGTTTGAATATTGCTTTGGAATATGTACTGTTTTTAAGCAACATTTTATCAAACAAACCTAAAACAGCTGTAAAACACCATGATGATAACTACTCATTTGTACTACAGAGGTCGAAGGAATATTGATGCTGTCAACGAATGAAATATTACTGAAATTATGCTGTTAGAAGGGTAAACTGGATTAAAATATAATTTAATTTATATAAGTTTCTTGCATAAAACATACTACATTATTAACATGAATTTGTTATAGACTAGTTCTTTGTTCAATCTGGCAAGATGGCAAGAGGCAGAAGTATTTTAGTTCTTTCAATTAAGGAATGAGTATTCAGATCATTCAATGACAAGCCATTTTGGCCCTTCAATCTAGTTTTGAAAAGGGTTGACAAGGCCAAAAAACTGTCCCAAAACATTTGTGAAAATAATAATCATGCTTCAGACTGTTGGAAAAAAGGTAAATGTCTGTAACAAAAGTGACATTGTTGCAAGGGTTATTCAGACTCATAGTTTTACCTAAAAAAATATCTGGTTTTGTAGCTGGAGCTGAAAAGACATAGGCAGATCCTAAGAGGGGGGTCCAGGAGGTCCCCCTCACCCTCTCTTTTGAAAACCAAATGTGGTATGTTGTAGGTAGTAAAAAATGACTGACTTGAGGATTTTGATATTTTGGACCCCTCCCTTTTAAAAATGCTGAATCTGCCTTAAAAATATCTTATCTTGATATAAAATCCCAAGATATTCCCCAGAATATCAAATGGTCGGTACCCTAAATGAAATCGTAATTATCAGCTTGGTGTTGGAGGTAGGCGGAAAGGGTTTTGTGTCACGGACACCTTTCCCTTTGGTAAAAACCCACATTACAGTGCTCAGATGGAATATTAAATAAAACACATGACAATGGATCCTGACACAGCTAAGGGACATAACTATTCACAACTAATTGTGGCACCACTATCCGCCCCAGAACCTGTAGTCTGTTCCTCTATCCACTTCCAATCTGGAAGCTCCATGAATATATAACCTGCGTTGACATTACGGAGTTACTTAAAACTGACAAAAGTAAAATATCTCCCAAAATCAGGCAGGACAACTTAGTTGCCTAGCAGATAGGACTGCAACTGGATTGTAGGTGTATCGAAATACTCTGTCTCACAATAGATACACAGGGCTTGATTAAAAGCTGGATTTAACTTGCACCAGGTGCATGTTGACATGAAAACCAAGTTGCACCAAACAAAACCATGCAGGTTGCACCCTTGTCCAATTAATATATCAGGTTGAAACATAGGCTGGTCTGCTGCCAGTGTCACATAAATTAATGACGCATTATAAGAACATGTGCACATATTCTTAAAGTACCCACAGTTTGATGGCATCACGCCTGAGAAAGAATGACGAATTACATGCCATACAGGGATGAGAGACGTAGTATGGTAAATAAACTTTAGAGGTCCTGAGCTTGTTCAAAGAACAACTTTGTTGGGGACAAGTAAGGGTTAGTCAGGTTTTTTTACATGCACTTGATGCATATCAACATAAATATTTTAAAAGGTTACATTTTTTAATAATAGGTTTCAGTGGGGCATGTTTTATGTAGCTAAATCAAGCCCTGATACATTAAACAATTCATAAATTCATGTGAAAATGATGTAAATCCCTAAATAAATGCCCAATAATATTAAATGCTGGGTCCCACTAAAGAAATGCATGCATGATCAGATGATGAGTCAGAGTCACTTTTTAAAAAAATTCAGTGAATATCACAGTTAGGAAGACCACAAGGAACATCACACTTCGCTTCAACCTCGAGAATTTTCCCCCCACCCCCACCAACACCACCCCATCCATTTACGCTATTCCAGCAAAAAAAGAATTTTATGCTTGAAAGTATCTACAATATTTGTCGATGGATAGGTTATAAGAAATACCAGTCATTTTTTTCCTTTAAAATGGAATTTGAATTTTCACATAACATTTCATGAATTGTATAGTAATGTTACCATCTAGATATAGTAATGCTACCGTCTAGATATAGTAATGTTACCATCTAGATATGTATCGTATTGCGACAAAGTTAATCGTTGCAGTCTAGTAGGCACAGTCAACCATCATATATATTAATATGTCTGCATACCTTCTAACAATAAAGCTTTCTGTGTTTTTTTTGCCTTTTTTTATTGTTTGGTTGGGTTTTTTTTATTTAATCACTAAGAGATGAAAATCTAGAAAGCTCAACATTGCTCAAAATTGAACTTTCAAACTTCAGAGGCTGGAATACAAGATCTTTCAAGGATTCCATCTGTTAATGATAAATATAGAAAGCTGAATTGTTAAATGATGCATAGTCCATGCAGAACAATAACCTCTTTGGATTATTCCATTTCGAAAAAAGAGAATATTGCACTTTACAGATCTGGACAATCAGGAAGCCCCATAGCTCTCTGACCAGGCATGTTGGACGGATGGGGTGTCTTCCTCTCCGTGCTGTCTGTCTGTCTGTGGCTTAAAGGTGGGACGGAACTTTGATCTGATGACCCCGTGAACAGCGGTGGCGGGTTGAAGAGCTGATTTTCAGAGTCTCTCTCACCTTCGCTCTGACCTTGACCTTTGGAAAAGAAAGTTTATTCTGACACACCTAGATTAAATAGAAATATAAGATCTCTACCATACTGATATAGGTACAAGGCTTACACATACATGTAGTGATACAAATATTATATTTGTAATAAGACTTTCTCAGTAAAGTTAATATTCTATTACTTTTTTTTATTTACACTTGTTAGAGGGTACCCAAAATACACGATCGAGACTACCAGTTGTCGGACTTCCATTTTGTAGAAGCCTCAGTTGCCGAGTGGGTTAGATCGCTGACTTTGTGTGATGGTGATTAGGTGCAGATCCATGGACCAAGTGAGTGAAAATTCCCTTTTTAATAGTTTTGACACACATTCTTTTTAAATATTGCTTCGGAATATGTAATTATTTCATGCGAACATTTACCAAAAGGTATACAAGAATGAGATGATTCCTACTCACTGTGGTATGATAGGAATATTCACACTTCGAACTAATGAAATATTGTTGAAATTCTTGTTGAACTTGCTGAATAATAATTTATGGATTGATCTTGAATATTTTTTTATATATACATAAGTTTAACATTTTGAACAGTTAAATTTGTTATAGACTAGCAGCATTTGTGAGGGCTTTTTGACACATACACACAACTGAATCAAATCTTCAGCCTTCCATCTAAACTATTTTCCAATTAAGGCCTCAGTGTTGAGTGTATTTAGTAACAAGCGATTCTACAGTGTACAGACACAAGGTTGGACCTTCAGTCTCATCTTTGAAAAGGGTTGATGACACTCGCATACTTCAATATTTCAGAGACATCATGCATTGTGTGGAATCATAGCTCAAATGGATAGTATTATTAAAAACGCAAGCATGTTATCAGAAAAATTTGCAGGCCACAGCAACTTGATAGCAGTCCACATTTATCTAACGATGCTGGATATCTATTCTATTGTTAAGTGATGTCATTAGCGTCATGTTTCTTGTTTGTGACGTCATACTTTATTATGTTCTTTGACATTATGACCCATAAAGATCTGGGGTAGAAAAGGTCTTCAGCAATCCATGCTGGTGGTAAAAGACGACAATGCTCGTTGTAAGAGTCGACGAACGTGATAAGGTGGTCAGGTTTGCTGTCTTGGTTGATGCATGTCATCAGTCCCAATTGCGTGGATCCATGCTCATGATATCAATCACTGGATTGTCTGATCCATTATTTACAGACCGCTGTCATATTGCTGAGTGCAGTGTTAGAACCAAAAACAAACACGCAAATAAATTATGATATTGCTATTCGTAAATCAGTGACAACTGTTGTGACGTTTTCAATACAGCGACTAAACTTATGCTGTTGTTTGTTGTTTTGTTCATTGTGGGATCAGCTACAAAATCTGTCCATTTTCAATAACAGTAACATTATTTTTCAGAGAGTTTTCAGAAGCTCTCGGTCTATTCCACTGCTCTACTGTCGGGCAGTAAACGGCAGACTTCAGGCTTCTGAATGTTAACTCTCTGAAAAATAAAGTTACCCTAATGACAATATCAGCGGTAGAAACAAATATTTTTATTCCACTAGTCCTGATAATGATAACATATCGCAAAACCCTTAAAAATGGCAACTTTCTACTCGTTCTTATGTTCCCTTAACTCTTGGGCATTTTGGCACCGACTACAGGACGAGTGCCAATTTCTATTGCTGATTACAATCTAGTTATGAATTGTTTTACCACAAGGTTTATAGATGCACACTTAGTGCAGGCACAGACTTCCACCATATGATAATTGGTATGTCTGGATGAATAGTCTTGGTTCTCAGGCACCAAGTATCATCATAAAGTCTGCCGCACATTCCGTTTTTATTTCCATTTTTAAAAAAATGAAAAATTCTAATACAGGCAGCCAATCAAATTATAGCTGTAATACCAAGCTCGTGTTTGATAAATTTCAGAAGTTGGCGAAAGATTTTTTGTTAAATCGTGTTATTCTGAACGTTTTAAGCAGGAAATCACGATATATATTAAAAATATGGAACTTCGCGAATGTATCGTGCTAGGTTACGAGCTGTGACAAAGATTTTTCATGCATATATTTTTGCATTAAACGTTGTGTCCGAGCCGAGAATTCAAGGCGACGAAAGCCGAGATGTCATTTGACTTACATTACACGCGATCGCACGAAACGATGGAAATAATAACTTAGATGTAAGTTTGATTACTTTTAGATATATTTTTGTTGATTTTATTTATCACTTTTTATAATATATTTAAAGATTTGCTTAAAACGTCTTTATTTTGCTCTTTGACATGTTCGATGCGGACTCGTTGTCGAAATGTGTGTCTGAGAATTTTATTTTCAATAACATCGCGGGAAATAGTGAATAATTTTTTAATCTATCGATAAAAAATTATAAATTGAAATGGAATACGTATTTCAGACATTGTGAAATGTGACAGATTTAATAAATGAATGATATTCCAGGTAGATCTAGGTCCATAAAAATATATACTATTTTTACGTGACGTGAGATAAACACATATTGATGATTTGAGATTTGCCGAGCGCGCTCCCCCGCCTCGGCCTCGGTTAAACGGCTCATCGTCTATAACGCCCACGAATTATTTGGACCCCATTGGTAGCTCTGTAGCGAGGGACCACTGTACTTAAAAAAAATGTGATCCAATGTAGCACAAAGTTACTCCCTCTACATAGGCACTGCTTTACTGTGCATCTTGACCTCGTGTTGTGGTCATGACGGCAATAGGAGTTGGTATGCTTGTTTATGTAGGGAGGCCCTTTCCCAGGTTGATGGTACACAACTATTTGGTTACATACTAGTTTGAACAAGCAAACAAACCAAAAAAAAGGCCCACCTGCACAATATTTTCAAAAGTCACTGCCAGAGAACCAATTCTTTTATTTTTTTTAAGCCCAATTAAGATTTCTATGTCCCTTGTTTTTTTAGATTATTTATCTGGACAATCACATCGTGCTGCAGCACCCTTACCAGGGATGCCTGATGGACAGATTGTCTTCCTCTCCGTGCTGTCTGTTTGATCAGGTCTTGATCGTTGATTAGATGACCCCGTAAACAATGATGGAGGATTGAAGAGCAGAGATTCAGAGTCTCTTTCATCTTCTCTCTGACCTTGACCTTCTGAAAAGAAATTTTATTTTCTGACACTCAAAGGTTGCGAGTGAATGAGTTATGACTATGCCTTACTTTTAACAATAAATCCAGCAATATCATGGGAACACCTTTATTACGCTTCTCACCTTATTCCCATCAGGTGTGACAACTGAACGCTTTAACCACCCTGCTCCTGCACCAACCCTTATATAAGGTCAATAATTCAATTGAAATAAACAGTCTCTTCAACAATCCATACTGACAGAGGAACAGGGCTGCAAATGACCTGTACGGAGTTATGCCCCTTAGATGTGCCAGGAAGCTATAAACATGGGTTGAATCCCAGATTCCTGCTGATTGTGTTCCTCAGGCTTCCAGCTGTACACCCATGTTTATTTGTTTCACCAACGGGTAAATGTCTACTTCCAGCAACACTTCGGGTTTTCCTCCCACGTTACATAACGCAAATACTGTTTAAAACAGCAGTAAAACTTACTCACTCTCACTCTTACTCACTCACTCTCCCACTCACTTACTCACTCACCCTATCACTCACTCACTCACTCATAACAATACAAACTTAAATTCAAATTTAAATTCCCAGAGAACATTTTAAAGACAACATTGCTTGGATCACCAAAATAAAGATCACTTTCATCAAGCCCAAGGTTTCTCGGAGATGTCGAAAATGCAGCAAAAACAGACAACAGCTATGTCCACAATCAAAATAATCAAAAAGCTGGATCACATTTTTAATTCTGCATACCACATATTTCATATCCTATCAAATTTTTAAATGATCCATGCAGAAATGTCTGAATCATATGCAATATGACATTTTCAGTATGGCTGCCAAGGATTTGTAGATGTCGAAATTTTGAACGTTTTCGTCGGAGGGATGAAAGACAATGTGTCATGACATTCAGCTAGGTGAGCTAAGAAGCACTATTTTCACTTATCCTGCTGACTGCAAATGGGCATGTTCACCACAAAAAAAGTGTGCATGCAAATGTTTAACTGACGAAAAAACTAATCTGAAATGGGTTTTTTATTTTTCCCACCTTCCATGATTTTGATCATAATAGAAAAAAGAAAGAAAAACTGATAGCACCATTACACTGTAGCTCACAAAGATATATAGTAATAATAATACTTTGAACAAAATACTACATCATCATAAGGAGAAACAAACTTGCAGCCTCAGTCTGGCTATTCAGGGGAGTCTACAGCAAAATACATGCATTTTTAGAGAATTTACGAGCATGGACAAAATAAGGTGAAAAAAAGAATAATGAAAAAAAAGTGGAACATGTTGAATCCCACAACAAAACAAATCCCAATTTAGAATTTGTAAACAAATGCCAGAGTCATGGTTATAAATAGTTTTTTTTCAAAATGGCTGTGAAATGAAAATCAGATTTGAACCTCTGGAAGGATGGCATCATTGGTGGGGACAAGCGTGTGGAGCTTTAGTATTAAGAAGGCCTGAAATTAAGGCCTTATGTCCTGCAAAGCGTTTGTGTAATTGTTGTTTGATGAAACGTTTCAAAGCGAAAAATATCCCAATATCATTAAAGTCAGATCTTATTCTCGCTAGAGGTGAGGTGAGGTGAAATTGGGTTTAACGTCGCGTCCAAGATTATTGCACTTATATAGCGACGTGCATGTACGTGTGTGTGTTTGTGTGGCTGCTTGTACTAGTCTGGACTGATGCCGATTTATAGTGCTAGCTCACTGAGATACCATGCCGCAGTTTAACATGAATACCCCACTCAGACACAGTATACTGACTCCGAGCCGACCAGTCCTTGTTTTAGCCCCTTAATGCCGAGCGCCAGACAGGGTAACAACAAGTACCATCTTTTAACGTCTTTTGGTATGACGCGGCCGGGGATCAAACCCCGGACCTTCCGCTCTCCGGGCGGACGCTCTACCACAAGACCTATTCTCACTAGAGCCAAACAAACATCCCATTAAGGGTCAGGTGAGAACGACCTTTCATCCAACCAATCAGAGCGTCCTCCACAAGATAGCAAAAGCTACAGTCTGAATGTGTTTTCTGATCATGCATCCTCCAAATGGATAACACAGGGTATTCTGAAGGATAGTTTGGCCATACTTTTGTAATTTTATGTTTCAGAGATTTATTCCAGTTTTTCCATACAAGATCAATCAGAGTGAAAATCAAAATAAATACCTATGTCAATCATTTATTTATTTATTTATATGAAAGTCATTCTGCTGTGGAGTTAAAAATGCAGCTTATTTATAAATTTATTTACATGAATGTCATTCCGACGTGGAATTAAAACTGCAGCTGGCTTCTTGAATCACTGATAGTGATGTAGACATGGAGGTGAGGTGAAATTGGGTTTACCGTCGCGTTCAAGATTATTGCACTTATATAGCGACGTGCATGCACGTGTATGTGTGTGTGTGGCTGCTTGTACTAGTCCGGACTGATGTTGATTTATAGTGCTAGCTCACTGAGATACCATGCCGCAGTTTAACATGAATACCCCACTCAGACACAGTATACTGACTCCGAGCCAACCAGTCCTTGTTTTAGCCCCTTAATGCCGAGCGCCAGACAGGGTAACAACAAGTACCATCTTTTAACGTCTTTTGGTATGACGCGGCCCAGGGATCGAACCCTGGACCTTCCGCTCTCCAGGCGGATGCTCTACCACAAGACCACGGAGGCGGTCATGTAGACATGGAACATTTTATAATGTATCAGAGATAATATATTACAAGTGGGAGACATAATAAAAATAGGGGCGGTCGGGTAGCCTAGTGGTTAAAGCGTTCGCTCGTCACGCCGAGGACCTGGGTTCGATTCCCGACATGGGTACAATGTGTGAAGCCCATTTCTGGTGTCCCCCGCCGTGATATTGCTGGAATATTGCTAAAAGCGGCGTAAAACCTTACTCACTCACTCACTCACTAATAAAAATATATCTTTTTGTTTAATTAGTTTCTTTTCCACTTGCTTTTCAGGAGAGGCGACGGGCCCGTGAAAATAAAAATAAAACATGCTAGACATCCTCAATCTCTCCCTCACAGAATAAAAGTTTGAAGAGAAGAGACTTTCTATAGCCCAAGAGAAGTACTTCCAATTCATTTTTTACCATTTCTTTGACATTCCAGAATGTTCTTTTGTTCAGTTTTCACAATTTTGATTCGAGAACTTGTTCAATTTATTTTTTTAAGCATACTGGGGTAATCTTGAATGGAAGTTGCCATTTCAAAATGAGTGCTGAAAAGCTCATAAAAAACTTCTTTCTTATTGAATGTCAGCTTCCAATCGACTTCCTGTTAGTCATTTCATTGGCTGGTCAAAATTTGTGACGGGTCATTCTGACATGACCTGTAAAGGGATTTTCTCAGATCTTTGTTGGTACAGGAACTAAGAAATGATTTTAATGAGGTTGAAGATATCAACACATTGAATGCTGTTTTGCAGCACATATGGTTCTTTTCAAAATGGTCGCAATGAAGCAGGTACCTTCAGTTTCATTCCCTGTTCCCTCCTGCAGGCTGCCTTCTCTGAGTGAAATATTTGTAACCATAGCAACATATCTTTGTCAATAATAAAACCATTAAAGCAAGGAAAACTACTTTTAATTCAAACTTTTTTTTGAAGAAATCTATTTTCAATTCAAACATTTTTTAAAGAAAACTACTTTTAATTCAAACCTTTTTTAAGAAAACTACTTTTAATTCAATCTATTTTTAAAGAAAACCAACCAACTTTAAAAGTAATTCAAGAACTCGGGGAACCAAACAGTCTGGCCTTAGCCTGTTACACTGATATAATCATAAAGTTTGAGGTAGGAAGCAGACAGTATCAGAAAGACCGACTGAATCAAACTTACTGGAACAGCCAGTTTTTAACCAGCCTAGATACATGAAACATGCCTTGGAAACTTGACAACACAACTTACCATCATAGCTTGGAGGATTACCCAGTCCTGCTTCCGGTTCTGGAAAACATGATATGATGTTTCTTTAAAAGTTTAATTACCGCAATGAAAGAGAAATTCTCTATCAAAATTATTTTTTAATATGTTTAATACCATAGAAATTCAATACTATAGCTGGAATACATTACATTATTGATCAAGAACTAACTCCAGAAAGTAGGTTGGTGTTGTCATAGCGACTGATTTACAACAACCATTGTCTGAAGAACATTTGATTTAAAAGGCTAATTACCCTGTAGCCATGACATGTGCATGTCTCCATAACTTAATTGTCATTACGTATTAGGCGCTAATCCCCGCTGTTAATCCTCGCCACCATTTCATTGTATATTGACTGTCAGCAAACCTCGGCTAGTATATCACTTCCCGTTAATTACTGTTAGTAATACAGTATAATATGACATTTATTGCCTTAATTGTTCATCCCCTGAGCATTGTTGGTTCATCACCCCCAGAAGTCCCATGTCCAGAGCAACGGCATTGTCTGTCCATTGTTGTTCATTACTATATATGTGTTACCATTACAGGGTGTTATAAAAAGCTTGGTATTCCGAGTGCTGGTGTAGGGACGACCTCGAGCAGGATGTGCCGCTCGTAGGAAACGTCCTGAGGTTGAGCTGGAGCTCCGCTCACCTCATGTAAGACTGAGCTGGAAGGTCCCCACATTTCTGTATTTGTGTTGTCAGAGCAGGTATTCCGCTCATTGTGCAATTGCAATTGTTGTTTATTGTTTACATGTTGTGCATAAAGCGTTCTGGGGACAGTGATGTCGATTTTGTCCTTTATTCCCCCAAGAGCTAATTCCCCGTCAACATGCGCGTTGAAAGTGTTTTGATAACCTGATACTGTTATTTTTTTTCATGAATATTTTTAATATTTTAGATGAAAAAAGTAATATGATCTCACCTGAGGAGTTGACCTGTGTGAAAGTATTCTTTATGTAGATGTATACTTTGCTCTTGTCTGAAATAGAAGAATTAGGAGATAAACATGTAGATTCCAACATAAAACAATGTTACCAACATATACTCAGCGTCATTATTGAAGGTTCACCTAGTTCTGTAGGGTGTGAAACGTGAACGTGTGCCAACAAGCGCCAATAGGTCTGAGTATGTTAACAATGTGATAACAGTTGAAGAACGTTTTGTTATGTCTGTCACACTGTTTAGAAGCTTCTATTAAACTGGGACAACGACAATTTGAAAATGGAAAATGATTGGAGGGGATGGGGACAGCTGCCCAAATCACACGCCTGAACACAACCAGTAGTTTAGCCCTAAGTACAACACATGACAAGTAACAGTCAAGGATAAACAAATAAACAAATTTCAGTAAACAAATATTCAAAACTCTCCACAGCGCTTGGCGTATTCAATGACATTTCGTGTAGAGATGATAGATCACTGGGAGGAGCTTATGCACACTCGATGACCCCTGACGTCACAGGCATTGTTTCGCCAGTGTGACTGGCAACAAAATACTAAAAATTACGTCATAGGGTATTGTCACGTGTTTGAAAAGTTTGTGGTACTGTATTCTAAAGGTAGGCCATAGTCTTGGTTCTCAGGTTCTCAGGCATCGCCTGCATCATCATAAAGTTTGCCGGATGTTTTTCTTTATTTCCATTTAAAAAAACAAACAAAAAATCCATTCCAAGTCTAACAGTTGGCAAATCTTTTATCCCAGTATTTTACTCATCAAGGATCAATTTATGGAGGGAGACCCTTTCCCAGGTTGATCGTACACAGCTGTTTATTTGGAAACACAACAGTATATTTTGGTTACATACTGGTTTGAACAACCAAAAGAAACACTGCCCGCCCTCGCTATATTTTCAAAAGCCATTACCATAGAATCCATTCTTTTATTTTTTAAAGCCCAACGTGGTCATGAAATGGTTCATTCCAAAAGCAACAGAACTGTGCTCTTGGATGTTGAAAATTAGCTCATGATACCATACTCATTGCTTATTATCTGTCTGATCCCTTGATAATGATGCCATGTATAGACGAGGTGATACAGGAGTTATGTCACAGTCAAGACTCTTGCCGTTATATAGCGATGTTGAAGCACGTGTGAGTATGGCTGCTTGTACTCATCCAGACTTATGTCCGTTTTTAATGCTAGCCCACTGAGATACCAGGACACAGTGGATATGCCACTCAAACAAATATTGATTCCGTGCCAACCAGTCATTGTTTTATCCCCTTAATGCTGAGTGCACAGGTACCATCTTTCAATATATTTTTTATGACGCTGCAAAGGGATTGAACCACGGACATCTGCTCTCCAGGCGTACATGTACTTTATGATTTAGAGCAAGGAGACGAGACCTGTATATTTAACAGGTGGCAGGTGGAATATGGAACTGAATGTGCAGTTTGAGGTTTATAGAGAGATATGTGGCATCTTACACCATTCTCTGCCCCCAATATATGCATGGACTTTCAAAGTTTATTTGGGAAGAGTTTTACAGAGGAAAGTTAATATGTAACACTATAATATTGTTTAAAATACATTTTTGGGAACTTTTACTTCAGACTAAAAAACATTACTTCTTGTTTTCTGTTTATGCCACACTCAGCAATATACCTGCCAAATCACAGCTGCCATTCAATATTGCGATTGGACCAGACAAACCAATGATTGATATTATGAGTAACGATCAAAGCTCGCAGAGTAAAATGTTTTGAGAAAAATGCAGTAAATACAAGACAGTGAAGTGAGGGGAGGACTTCATGTTGGTATGGTGGTGTCCACCATGTGTACTATTGTGCTAAAGAGTGAGTGTGTTGAGTTTAATGCCACTTTGGACAGTATTCCAGTTATATCAGTGTGTCAGCTTGATGAGGGGGGAAATCCCAAAGTGATCCAGGTCTCAGACATTTATCATGAGCACGAGTATGGCGTACAAACCTAGAAACAAAACTTGAGCAAACCAGGATTCAAACCCATGTTCACAGGTTTCTGGTGTGTCAAAGGGACATAACTCTGCACAGCAAATTGCAACACCCTAGACGACTGGGCCATCCCAACACCGTTGTGGTGAAAGAGTGAGTGAGTATGGTTTTACGCCACTTTTAGCAATATTCGGCGGGGGACACCAGATATGGGCTTCACACATTGTACCCATGTCGGGACTCGAACCCAGGTCCTCGACGTGATGAGCGAACGCTTTAACAACTAGGCTACCCGACTGCCCCTGTGGTTAAAGACCATGATTAACTTTGACAATATAACACATACATGGTTTGTACATGTGTACAACATGTAATCTGGAACATGTTTTGTATGTTTTGTTGATCAATTATAGAGATGAAAGAATGAAACTCAAATCAAGTACTCACAAATTCTGTTGCTGATGGATCGTTGTCTTTGGCAGCAGCAGCAGACTATCAGTATCACAATGATCACAATGATCAAAATGGAGCCAACCACACCAACTGCTGTTACCACGGGATTGGTGTCTGGAGCAGGCCTGAAAAGGATTCAGAACTAATTGTTAAAAGGGGTCTTTGCTCAACGTCTGGTGCCAATTATCGGTTTAGATCTGGATACTGTTACCAGTGACTGATGTCCAAAATTAACATGGCTGTTTAAATATAGAATTATTAAATGTTGGATTGATATCAATCGTAAAATTTGAGTTATACACCAAATATTTCGAAAAGGACCATCGCAATTACACGGATGACCGGTTACTGTGATATGACTTACTTTGATTTAGTCACTGGTTCTCTTGAAGAGACAGTTTTTCAGTGTCTTTCAAACTTTGTCAGATTTTCTGTTTTGCGGATTTCTTGTGGCAGATTGTTTTATAGCCATGGGCCAGCATGTTGAAATGCTGTATGTTTTGATACGTGACTTTGGCACCACGAGCAGATGTTGATCTCATTAAAATCAGATCTTGGCTCTCGCTACCGCTAAACAAAGATCTTACCTTTTATCCAACCAATCAGAGCATCGCTTACCAGATCATAAATGTGACAGTCGGAATGAGTTTTCTAATCATGTAACCACAAAATATTTAACAAGGGATATTCCGAACGACATTTACGGGTTTTATGACTATGTCCATACAATCTAGGCCATCTGTAAGCCATTCCATAATGTTCTTCTTATCAGTTTTAACAAAATATGTTTCGAAGTGTAGTCGCCAAATTGAAACTAGTGTCGTAAAGCTTGAGAAAGCTGCCTTCCTATTGGCTAATGTTGATTTCTTGTCAGTCATTTCATTGGTCGGTCAAAATTTGTGTTAGGTCGTTCTGACATGACCCATAATGGGATGTCCTCAGATCTTTATTTAGCGGTAGCGAAAACTAAGATCTGATTTTAATGAGATTGATGTTGATCTTTAGATCAGAGAGAATGTGCAGGCTTGTATGGCACTGTCAGTTCCTTTAAGTGTGCAGGAGCCAAACACTGCCTTGTAAACCCCAGTGAGTAGTAATAAGTCACAATCTAACCATAGGTACAAAAAGACACTAAATTCAGAGTTTGCAGCAGGCTTTCAATCAGATGGTGCTATATCACCGACAATCTTGGTGTCAGTCATAACAGAACGTACAACAACAAATTCATTTCATCATCAACCACAAAATACAAATAATAACCAACTGCAAACTGTACAGGGTAGGCATGAACACGTTACTTCTCTATTGAGCAATATTTGTGGGCTGAATGTCCGTCAACTTTGAACACTGTAGTGAACAGTTGACCAATTGAATGTGTTACAGTATCATTAAATTCATTCAACAAATATTTTCAGCCTACTAACATTTCCAAGGCCTAAAAAATTAAAGAATTGGTTCTCAGGCAATGACTTTTGAAAATATAGTGCGTGTGGGCAGTTTTTTTTTTTTTTTTGCTTGTTCAAACTGGTATGTAACCAAATAAACAGTTGTGTACAATCAACCTGGGAAAGGGCCTCCCTACATAAACAAGCATACAAACTCCCATTGCTGCCATGACCATAACACAAGATGCACAGTAATTGCGAGCTCTATTGGATCGCTTTGTTTTTCAGCATTAGATTTTTATATTCTTTTTGGCTATTATTTTTCTTAGCCCAAATAAGACATTTCCAAGAATCATAATGTTTTTTGTTGTTTAACGCCACACACAAGCATAGTCGCCTTTTACAGCAAGCATTGGTTGCTGAAGACCTATTCTACCCCGGAATCTTCACGGGTCAGGAATCATAAAGACATGCTCTACCTGTGTTCACACGTCTTTATTATCATCAATCTGATTCAAAACAAGAACACAGTATTATCACTATTTTGTTTGTTCATTAAGTAGTGAACAGTATGAAGTTATGTGGAAAAGCACAGAGTAAGGGCCTTAACTCTGTAAAAATACATGTAGCAAGGGACATAACTCTGAAAAAATGATAATTATATTATGATGGCTGCCTGTTAATCGCATCTGGACCAGACAATCCAGTATTATGATCAACAGTTCACTCCATCGGATCACAATGAGACACAACCTGGTCGCCTCTTAATACCAGCATCTCCAGGTATTGATCTTGACCTTGACCTCAAGTCAGTGCCGTCTCATATTTACCTGGGAGAAGAGGTTGGCGTTGTTTCTTCAACATCACTTGTCCGTGAGCCTGAAAAGTAATTATAAGTTAGTGGGTTTGTTCTGATGCTGCAGTGAGATGTAGTACTGTCACAGCCTCTTAGCTGTATGAAGTGAGTGAGTGAGATAGTTTTATACCACTTTTAGCAATATTCCATCAATATCACAGCAGGGGACACTAGAAATGGGCTTTACACATTGTACCTACATGGGGCATCAAACCCAGCCCTCAGCATGACAAGCAAACGCTTTAACCACTAGGCCTTTCCACCACAATTAGCCAAAAAGTGATGCCACTTGGAGACTTTTATGGTAAGCACCTGGAGCAAAGACCCAGTGCTGACAGACCAAGGATTTGGCCTCATGACCTCATAATGGAGTCTCAGAATCTGGCACCGATACACAGCCTTCTGGGATGGAATCCCACTGCTGACAACATGACGTTCCAGTGGTCCAACTCTACCTATTCATAAGCTAGTCTGGAATAAATAAGGTCAGTCATAAACTCACCACTGATAGAGGTCGACGGTGTTTTCTCAGTGGTTGAGAGTTCTTCTGCTGGTGGCTTGCTGTCACTGCAAATAGTGTCATAAGAGTGAGTGAGTGAGTATGGTTTTACACCGCTTTTAGCAATATTCCAGCAATATCACTGCCGGGGACACCAGAAATGGACTTCACACATTGGACCCATGTCGGGAATAAAACCCGGGTCTTCGGCCTGACGAGCGAACGCTTTAACCACTAGGCTACCCGATCCGCCCCTAGTGTCATAAGAGCTTTCTATACACACTTAATATATAGCCAGGTGATCCCAATGCACTTAGTTGATATTTGTTCACCTAGTGTGCCCCTGTACAATAATGCCACCACTTCTACGTTCCCACAAACTCAAACAAACAGCTCATCTGTCAATCTCATTTCAAATTTCTCTTTTGCTATTGAAATATTCACAGCTTATTCAGACAATATGAACTTGGTATAATGGTATGTTCCAGTAGCCTGTTGCTTTGAGTGTATCTGCATAATTTAACACAGGCTTGTGAAGTCAAAATATATAAACTGATGTAATGATAGTGTGATGATAAATGTCTGTAAATTAAATTTCAGGAGTGTAGATCAATATCTGGTGTGTCCACCATGTTGGGCGGTACAAACATGACACTTTGATCACATACTGTAGATCAACTTGCGTGTGGTTGCCCTTGGTATTGCCCGCCATTCCGCCTGAAGAGCTACCCAATGTTTGGCCACAATGGCGGGCGCTGGGTCTCTCTCTGGTGTACAACACATCCCACAGAGGCTCTATTGCGGGGGACATGTCAGGGGACTTAAGAGGCTACATTCGTCACCACTCGCCCCTTTCTGTAACCTGCAAGGAGACTCGTCCCCCTATCGATGAATGTTATATGGGAAAATACGACAAACCAATCAGAATGCGCAAATGATTTCAAGTTCATCATCAAAGAATCCCTCAGAAATAATTTTTGATTTTACATACGTCTTGCATCTAAAAATATACCCAAGATACATTAAATGTGTTCAATCTTACTGTATAATTCCGATTGTCTCGATGTGCTTTAAGTTTCATCTAAAATATATATAATATATGGGGAAATATATGTGAACCATTATGCAACGAGTTGACAATTGTTTTAGGTATGCCCGTTTACGCTAAGACGGAACCCGGTTGCAAAAATGGCCATGAGAGGGGCACGAGTCTCTATTCGGCTTGTCCCCGAAGAACACGAGTTGGTCACGAATGAAGAGGCTAGTCCAATGTCCGTATGCCTTCCAGTCGGACACAATCGTGACAACATGGGGACGATGTTGTCTAGTAATGTCAAAGATTTGTGCTGATAATTCTACTGAACGACAGGATGCAAAATTTCGTCAACATATCGCTGGCCAGTCAAATGTCCATTCACAACAACCAATAAGATCGCCTGTCATGTGAGATACTGGTCGCCTTGCTATCAGTCGGCTCTGTAGAGCCGGATTTTAATAGCAGATGTTGATATTTGCCTTCCTGTTAATATATGGATTTCTCTATTGACAACAGGAGCAGATTTAAATATATTGCATAGTGCAGTTATTGTAATGAGACGATCTTGTCTGTGTGTCCCATTTTTAGGCCTGCCAGGCTCAGGTCTCACTGAAACTCCACCCGTTTGATGATACTTGTCCCAGTCGAGAAATTACACTTTTTAATTTGCCAAACATTCGGGCAACTTGGGATATTGGCGCCCCCCGTATCATACTGACAGTTTGCCACTTTGTCTGTTCATTGAGATACTGTCTCGGAGGTAATTTTAAGCGTGGCATATTTCAGCTGCATTTATGATGGTGAGTATAGGTGCACACACTTTGGCTTCAGTGTGCATGTGCATCACAGTGTGCATGTGATGTCAAATGTCTTTGTGCTTAGATGTGCTCAGATGCAGTGCTCAACAATAGCTACATTCAAATCATTAGTTCCCTTATTTTCTGTGAGTAGTAACTATTGTGACAATCACAAGATCTTAAAACATTTAGACATTTAAGTCACACAAACACACCAGGTAAAATGACCTCAACAAACATGATGATAAGTTGTTATGAGAATAAAAATGAAAGTGAAATTATTAGTCATGTAGGTTACTAGAAACTGAACCTCAACAAAATGAGTGAATTGTTGGTGTAACGATGCGTTGATACAGTATCGTATCCCGATTCACGGCCCGCAATATGTTACATCCTTTTACAACCCCTGTATCATGATATATATGATACATTAAAACACAACATGTAAAAACATGTGATAATAACTAAACTGTTCAACAACTAGCATACGCATATTCTCTCGTATTTCCCATTTGGCTATAAATCGCAAAACATTCACAGTGAAATCTGACTACCGTCATTCAGGCGATGTTTCTGACAGATCACGATCTGAAAAATACTATCATGAAAGTGTATCCCGTGGATAAGCCGACCCCTTTCTACAGAATCTTTTTTCTGGTCCTCAAAATTCGGCTTATACGCGGTCATATACGGTAATGTGTTTCTGCCCGAAAATATCCCTTCTTCGATCTCTGACATTTAAAAACCAATTATTCAGGGTTGTGATTAACCTGCGAAAAGAAAGAAGATAAACCCATAACATTGGGATACTTATCGTATCATGACCCTTACGTATGGTTACACCTCTAAAGTGAATGTTGTTGAATGCACAGTCAGCAATATTCAAGTCATATATAACAGCAGCCTGAACATAATTGAGTTTGCAACAGAGAAACAAGTGGCTAAAAGCATAAGCAATGATCCACCCCATCAAGCATGATGACATGCCACCAACCAAGTCACTAAGTCTGGCCACCCTAACAGGCTTCATGAAACACCACCAACCAAGTCACAGAGTCTGCCCACCCTAACAAGCTTCATGAAACACCACCAACCAAGTCACAGAGTCTGACCACCCTAACAGGCTTCATGAAACACCACCAACCAAGTCACTAAGTCTGACCAACCTAACAGGCTTCATGAAACACCACCAACCAAGTCACTAAGTCTGACCACCCTAACAGGCTTCATGAAACACCACCAACCAAGTCACAGAGTCTGACCACCCTAACAGGCTTCATGAAACACCACCAACCAAGTCACAGAGTCTGACCACCCTAACAGGCTTCATGAAACACCACCAACCAAGTCACTGAGTCTGACCAACCTAACAGGCTACATGAAACACCACCAACCAAGTCACAGAGTCTGGCCACCCTAACAGGCTTCATGAAACACCACCAACCAAGTCACAGAGTCTGACCACCCTAACAGGCTTCATGAAACACCACCAACCAAGTCACAGAGTCTGACCACCCTAACAGGCTACATGAAACACCACCAACCAAGTCACAGAGTCTGACCACCCTAACAGGCTTCATGAAACACCACCAACCAAGTCACAGAGTCTGACCACCCTAACAGGCTACATGAAACACCACCAACCAAGTCACTGAGTCTGGCCACCCTAACAGGCTTCATGAAACACCACCAACCAAGTCACAGAGTCTGACCACCCTAACAGGCTACATGAAACACCACCAACCAAGTCACAGAGTCTGACCACCCTAACAGGCTTCATGAAACACCACCAACCAAGTCACTAAGTCTGACCACCCTAACAGGCTTCATGAAACACCACCAACCAAGTCACTGAGTCTGACCACCCTAACAGGCTACATGAAACACCACCAACCAAGTCACTGAGTCTGACCAACCTAACAGGCTTCATGAAACACCACCAACCAATTCACTGAGTCTGACCAACCTAACAGGCTACATGAAACACCACCAACCAAGTCATGGAGTCTGACCACCCTAACAGGCTTCATGAAACACCACCAACCAATTCACTGAGTCTGACCAACCTAACAGGCTACATGAAACACCACCAACCAAGTCATGGAGTCTGACCACCCTAACAGGCTTCATGAAACACCACCAACCAAGTCACCGAGTCTGACCAACCTAACAGGCTACATGAAACACCACCAACCAAGTCATGGAGTCTGACCACCCTAACAGGCTTCATGAAACACCACCAACCAAGTCACTAAGTCTGACCACCCTAACAGGCTTCATGAAACACCACCAACCAAGTCACTAAGTCTGACCACCCTAACAGGCTTCATGAAACACCACCAACCAAGTCACTGAGTCTGACCACCCTAACAGGCTTCATGAAACACCACCAACCAAGTCACTGAGTCTGACCACCCTAACAGGCTTCATGAAACACCACCAACCAAGTCATGGAGTCTGACCACCCTAACAGGCTTCATGAAACACCACCAACCAAGTCACTGAGTCTGACCACCCTAACAGGCTTCATGAAACACCACCAACCAAGTCACTAAGTCTGACCACCCTAACAGGCTTCATGAAACACCACCAACCAAGTCACGGAGTCTGACCACCCTAATAGGCTTCATGAAACACCACCAACCAAGTCACTAAGTCTGACCACCCTAACAGGCTTCATGAAACACCACCAACCAAGTCACAGAGTCTGACCACCCTAACAGGCTTCATGAAACACCACCAACCAAGTCACTGAGTCTGACCACCCTAACAGGCTTCATGAAACACCACCAACCAAGTCACAGAGTCTGACCACCCTAATAGGCTTCATGAAACACCACCAACCAAGTCACTAAGTCTGGCCACCCTAACAGGCTACATGAAACACCACCAACCAAGTCACGGAGTCTGGCCACCCTAACAGGCTAAATGAAACACCACCAACCAAGTCACTAAGTCTGGCCACCCTAACAAGCTTCATGAAACACCACCAACCAAGTCACGGAGTCTGGCCACCCTAACAGGCTTCATGAAACACCACCAACCAAGTCACTAAGTCTGACCACCCTAACAGGCTTCATGAAACACCACCAACCAAGTCACTAAGTCTGACCACCCTAACAGGCTTCATGAAACACCACCAACCAAGTCACTAAGTCTGACCACCCTAACAGGCTTCATGAAACACCACCAACCAAATCACTAAGTCTGACCACCCTAACAGGCTTCATGAAACACCACCAACCAAGTCACTAAGTCTGACCACCCTAACAGGCTTCATGAAACACCACCAACCAAATCACTAAGTCTGACCACCCTAACAAGCTTCATGAAACACCACCAACCAAGTCACTAAGTCTGGCCACCCTAACAGGCTTCATGAAACACCACCAACCAAGTCACTGAGTCTGACCACCCTAATAGGCTTCATGAAACACCACCAACCAAGTCACCAAGTCTGACCACCCTAACAGGCTTCATGAAACACCACCAACCAAGTCACTGAGTCTGACCACCCTAACAGGCTTCATGAAACACCACCAACCAAGTCACAGAGTCTGGCCACCCTAACAGGCTTCATGAAACACCACCAACCAAGTCACTAAGTCTGACCAACCTAACAGGCTTCATGAAACACCACCAACCAAGTCACAGAGTCTGGCCACCCTAACAGGCTTCATGAAACACCACCAACCAAGTCACTGAGTCTGACCACCCTAACAGGCTTCATGAAACACCACCAACCAATTCACTGAGTCTGACCAACCTAACAGGCTACATGAAACACCACCAACCAAGTCATGGAGTCTGACCACCCTAATAGGCTACATGAAACACCACCAACCAAGTCATGGAGTCTGACCACCCTAATAGGCTTCATGAAACACCACCAACCAATTCACTGAGTCTGACCACCCTAACAGGCTTCATGAAACACCACCAACCAAGTCACTGAGTCTGACCACCCTAACAGGCTTCATGAAACACCACCAACCAAGTCACAGAGTCTGGTCACAAATCCAAGGCCATGCAAATTAAATTTTTTCCCATGCAGATTAGCTGAAACTGTGATCCACCATCTTGCCACGTGCATATAAAAACATGGTACACTTGCTTTCAATCCATGTAAGCAGCCAGTCACTGGAAGGGAGATAACTCCATAAGCACATATTATAAACAGAATTGTTCAGAATATAAATAGCATAGAAATACAAAATCCAACTATGAAAAGATTATTTTCAGCTAAATGACTTGAGATAGGGCTTCGTTTGGAAAATTCAAGCGTTTTCAAAACATTTTAAGGCAGACTTTTCAAGATACTTTAAGACCTTGTCAAGGTTGCCCCAACCATTCATCTTTGATCCTTTCTGACACTTAAACACTTACGAGGTTGTTGGCAATGGTTTACATGGTCCAAATCCCAAACCTGGTCTATGAGTTCCGTCTGGACAACCTTGGCAGTACCCTGTAAACAGAAAACAAGGGGCTTACATGCCGCTCTTGTTCCCAAGGATTAAGCTCTTTGGTTACTACGTGCGGTATCGCATGGCTCCCAAAATTTATGTACACTTTTAATACTGAGAGTTTTACACAGCCATGATTGTATTGTTGTTCGATGTTCATTAGCACATTACACTTTTCATTGCATTATCAACCGTTTATCGCTGAATGGAGTTCTAATAATCTGTTTGAAAACATCCGCCACACGTCCCGGAAATACGATTGTTCTACTAGTTAACTTTTCACACTGTACATCCTTTGATCTTAGAAGCGCATGCATGCAACATGTAGTTGCTGTCACAACACGGCGGTCATTCCTTTTGATTCGGATCAAGTAACCTTATCAAACCAACTAATCTGGCTTGAATGTGTATCTATATTTGTATGAATGTGTGTGAATGCGCATAGTGCGGGTCAAAACTCTCGTTTTCCGTACTTAAAGCAACATGACCAATCAATGCCACTGAAACACTCTGTACTTGTGTAATGAATTGTGATTGGCTCTTCACTCATAGCGTCTTTTACTACCATTATCGATCGACATGTTCATGTAAGTAGACTACATTCACATTGAATATGACAGTTAACGCTTGTAAATAATAACAAACGGCAAAAACATAATGTATATATATTTTTACACTATGAACGGTAAACAACTTGTATCATTGTAATGTGCGAGACAAGGCGAAGATCATGAGATTGGCCGAGCGCGCTCCCCCGCCTCGGCCTCGGTTAAACGGCTCATCGTCTATAACGCCCACCAAATATTTGGACTCCATTGGCAGCATAATAGCGAGGGACCACTGTACTTTGTCTGCCTCCATCCCCCGTGTCTATCCCCAGCCACTTGTCCTGTACTTTGTCTGCCTCCATCCCTCTCGTCTATCCCCAGCCACTTGTCCTGTACTTTGTCTGCATCCATCCCCCGTGTCTATCCCCAGCCACTTGTCTTGTACTTTGTCTGCCTCCATCCCTCTTGTCTATCCCCAGCCACTTGTCCTGTACTTTGTCTGCCTCCATCCCTCTCGTCTATCCCCAGCCACTTGTCCTGTACTTTGTCTGCATCCATCCCCCGTGTCTATCCCCAGCCACTTGTCCTGTACTTTGTCTGCCTCCATCCTCCGTGTCTATCCCCAGCCACTTGTCCTGTACTTTGTCTGCATCCATCCCCCGTGTCTATCCCCAGCCACTTGTCTTGTACTTTGTCTGCCTCCATCCCTCTCGTCTATCCCCAGCCACTTGTCCTGTACTTTGTCTGCATCCATCCCCCGTGTCTATCCCCAGCCACTTGTCTTGTACTTTGTCTGCCTCCATCCCTCTTATCTATCCCCAGCCACTTGTCCTGTACTTTGTCTGCCTCCATCCTCCGTGTCTATCCCCAGCCACTTGTCCTGTACTTTGTCTGCCTCCATCCTTCTCGTCTATCCCCAGCCACTTGTCCTGTACTTTGTCTGCCTCCATCCTCCGTGTCTATCCCAAGCCACTTGTCCTGTACTTTGTCTGCCTCCATCCACCGTGTCTATCCCCAACCACTTGTCCTGTACTTTGTCTGCCTCCATCCCCCGTGTCTATCCCCAGCCACTTGTCCTATACTTTGTCTGCCTCCATCCTCAGTGTCTATCCCAAGCCACTTGTCCTGTACTTTGTCTGCCTCCATCCTTCTCGTCTATCCCCAGCCACTTGTCCTGTACTTTGTCTGCCTCCATCTCCCTTGTCTATCCCCAGCCACTTGTCCTGTACTTTGTCTGCCTCCATCCCCCTCGTCTATCACCAGCCACTTGTCCTGTTCTTTGTCTGCCTCCATCCTCAGTGTCTATCCCCAGCCACTTGTCCTGTACTTTGTCTGCCTCCATCCCCCGTGTCTATCCCCAGCCACTTGTCCTGTACTTTGTCTGCCTCCATCCCCCTCGTCTATCCCCAGCCACTTGTCCTGTACTTTGTCTGCCTCCATCCTTCTCGTCTATCACCAGCCACTTGTCCTGTACTTTGTCTGCCTCCATCCTTCTCGTCTATCACCAGCCACTTGTCCTGTACTTTGTCTGCCTCCATCCCCCGTGTCTATCCCCAGCCACTTGTCCTGTACTTTGTCTGCCTCCATCCTTCTCGTCTATCCCCAGCCACTTGTCCTGTACTTTGTCTGCCTCCATCCTTCTCGTTTATCCCCAGCCACTTGTCCTGTACTTTGTCTGCCTCCATCCTTCTCGTCTATCACCAGCCACTTGTCCTGTACTTTGTCTGCCTCCATCCTTCTCGTTTATCCCCAGCCACTTGTCCTGTACTTTGTCTGCCTCCATCCTTCTCGTCTATCACCAGCCACTTGTCCTGTACTTTGTCTGCCTCCATCCCCCGTGTCTATCCCCAGCCACTTGTCCTGTACTTTGTCTGCCTCCATCCCCCTCGTCTATCCCCAGCCACTTGTCTTGTACTTTGTCTGCCTCCATCCCCCGTGTCTATCCCCAGCCACTTGTCCTGTACTTTGTCTGCCTCCATCCCCCGTGTCTATCCCCAGCCACTTGTCCTGTACTTTGTCTGCATCCATCCCCCGTGTCTATCCCCAGCCACTTGTCCTGTACTTTGTCTGCCTCCATCCCCCTCGTCTATCCCCAGCCACTTGTCCTATACTTTGTCTGCCTCCATCCTTCTCGTCTATCACCAGCCACTTGTCCTGTACTTTGTCTGCCTCCATCCTTCTCGTTTATCCCCAGCCACTTGTCCTGTACTTTGTCTGCCTCCATCCTTCTCGTCTATCACCAGCCACTTGTCCTGTACTTTGTCTGCCTCCATCCCCCTCGTCTATCCCAAGCCACTTGTCATGTTCTTTGTCTGCCTCCATCCCCCGTGTCTATCCCCAGCCACTTGTCCTGTACTTTGTCTGCCTCCATCCCCCTCGTCTATCCCCAGCCACTTGTCCTATACTTTGTCTGCCTCCATCCTCAGTGTCTATCCCCAGCCACTTGTCCTGTACTTTGTCTGCCTCCATCCCCCTCGTCTATCCCCAGCCACTTGTCCTGTACTTTGTCTGCCTCCATCCCCCTCGTCTATCCCCAGCCACTTGTCCTGTACTTTGTCTGCCTCCATCCCCCTCGTCTATCCCCAGCCACTTGTCCTGTACTTTGTCTGCCTCCATCCCCCTCGTCTATCCCCAGCCACTTGTCCTGTACTTTGTCTGCCTCCATCCCCCTCGTCTATCCCAAGCCACTTGTCCTGTACTTTGTCTGCCTCCATCCCCCTCGTCTATCCCCAGCCACTTGTCCTGTACTTTGTCTGCCTCCATCCCCCGTGTCTATCCCCAGCCACTTGTCCTGTACTTTGTTTGCCTCCATCCACCGTGTCTATCCCAAGCCACTTGTCCTGTACTTTGTCTGCATCCATCCACCGTGTCTATCCCCAGCCACTTGTCCTGTACTTTGTCTGCCTCCATCCCCCGTGTCTATCCCCAGCCACTTGTCCTATACTTTGTCTGCCTCCATCCCCCTCGTCTATCACCAGCCACTTGTCCTGTACTTTGTCTGCCTCCATCCCCCTCGTCTATCCCAAGCCACTTGTCATGTTCTTTGTCTGCCTCCATCCCCCGTGTCTATCCCCAGCCACTTGTCCTGTACTTTGTCTGCCTCCATCCCCCTCGTCTATCCCCAGCCACTTGTCCTATACTTTGTCTGCCTCCATCCTCAGTGTCTATCCCCAGCCACTTGTCCTGTACTTTGTCTGCCTCCATCCCCCTCGTCTATCCCCAGCCACTTGTCCTGTACTTTGTCTGCCTCCATCCTTCTCGTCTATCACCAGCCACTTGTCCTATACTTTGTCTGCCTCCATCCTCAGTGTCTATCCCCAGCCACTTGTCCTGTACTTTGTCTGCCTCCATCCCCCTCGTCTATCCCCAGCCACTTGTCCTGTACTTTGTCTGCCATCATCCTCAGTGTCTATCCCCAGCCACTTGTCCTGTACTTTGTCTGCCTCCATCCCCCTCGTCTATCCCCAGCCACTTGTCCTATACTTTGTCTGCCTCCATCCTCAGTGTCTGTCCCCAGCCACTTGTCCTGTACTTTGTCTGCCTCCATCCCCCGTGTCTATCCCCAGCCACTTGTCCTGTACTTTGTCTGCCTCCATCCCTCTCGTCTATCCCCAGCCACTTGTCCTGTACTTTGTCTGCCGCCATCCCCCTCGTCTATCCCCAGCCACTTGTCCTGTACTTTGTCTGCCTCCATCCCCCTCGTCTATCCCCAGCCACTTGTCCTGGACTTTGTCTGCCTCCATCCCTCTCGTCTATCCCCAGCCACTTGTCCTGTACTTTGTCTGCCTCCATCCTTCTCGTCTATCCCCAGCCACTTGTCCTGTACTTTGTCTGCCTCCATCCCCCGTGTCTATCCCCAGCCACTTGTCCTGTACTTTGTCTGCCTCCATCCTTCTCGTTTATCCCCAGCCACTTGTCCTGTACTTTGTCTGCCTCGATTCCCCTCGTCTATCCCCAGCCACTTGTCCTATACTTTGTCTGCCTCCATCCTCAGTGTCTATCCCCAGCCACTTGTCCTGTACTTTGTCTGCCTCCATCCCCCTCGTCTATCCCCAGCCACTTGTCCTGTACTTTGTCTGCCTCCATCCTCCGTGTCTATCCCCAGCCACTTGTCCTGTACTTTGTCTGCCTCCATCCCCCTCGTCTATCCCCAGCCACTTGTCCTGTACTTTGTCTGCCTCCATCCCCCTCGTCTATCCCCAACCACTTGTCCTGTACTTTGTCTACCTCCATCCCCCCTGTCTATCCCCAGCCACTTGTCCTGTACTTTGTCTGCCTCCATCCCTCTCGTCTATCCCCAGCCACTTGACTTGTACTTGTCTACCTCCATCCCCCCTGTCTATCCCCAGCCACTTGTCCTGTACTTTGTCTGCCTCCATCCCTCTCGTCTATCCCCAGCCACTTGTCTTGTACTTTGTCTGCCTCCATCCCCCGTGTGTGTGTGTGTGTGTGTGCATGTGTGTATGTGTAGATATGTGTCTGTGTCTCTGTTTGTGTCTCTGTGTGTCTGAATGTGTCTCTGTGTGTCTGCCTGTTCTATCGCTGTGTCTTTGGGTGTGTGCGTGTGTGTGTGTATGTGTGTATTTGTGTCTGTGTCTCTGTGTGTCTGAATGTGTCTGTGTCTCTGTGTGTCTGAATGTGTCTGTGTGTCTGCCTGTGTATCGCTGTGTCTTTGGGGGTGTGTGTGCATGTGTGTATGTTTGTATATGTGTCTGTGTCTCTGTGTGTCTGAATGTGTCTCTGTGTGTCTGCCTTTGTATCGCTGTGTCTTTGGGTGTGTGCGTGTATGTGTGTGTATTTGTGTCTGTGTCTGTGTGTCTGAATGTGTCTCTGTGTGTCTGCCTGTGTATCGCTGTGTCTTTGGGTGTGTGCGTGTGTGCGTGTATGTGTGTGTATGTGTGTATTTGTGTCTGTGTGTCTGAATGTGTCTCTGTGTGTCTGCCTGTGTATCGCTGTGTCTTTGGGTGTGTGTGTGCATGTGTGTATGTTTGTATATGTGTCTGTGTCTCTGTGTGTCTGAATGTGTCTCTGTGTGTCTGCCTTTGTATCGCTGTGTCTTTGGGTGTGTGCGTGTATGTGTGTGTATGTGTGTATTTGTGTCTGTGTGTCTGAATGTGTCTCTGTGTGTCTGCCTGTGTATCGCTGTGTCTTTGGGTGTGTGCGTGTGTGCGTGTATGTGTGTGTATGTGTGTATTTGTATCTGTGTCTCTGTGTGTCTGAATGTGTCTCTGTGTTTCTGCCTGTGTATCGCTGTGTCTTTGGGGGGGTGTGCGTGTTCGTATGTGTGTATATTTGTCTGTGTCTGAATGTGTCTCTGTATGTCTGCCTGTGTATCGCTGTGTCTTTGGGTGTGTGTGTGTGTGTGTGTGTGTGTGTGTGTGTGCATGTGTGTATATGTGTGTGTGTCTCTGTGTGTCTGAATCAGGGGTCCGGAAACCATCATATGCGCCGGACATGTCCGATTGGGAATCTCAAATGTCCGTTTTAAAATATTGCTTACCGGACATTTTAAAAAGTATTGTCCGGACATTCTAAAATTTTGACCGGACATGATCAACAGTTAGGACTGAGCAGTTTCTGTCTGCAGTTGCAACACAATGAAGATTAACTACACTGACAAGCTTTGTTTGTTTTGATTGCTGTAAATACATCGTACCTACATGATAGTCCAATCGGTCAATCACTGTAATAGGCAATAAACTGAGTTGACACTGATTAATCGAGGATTAATTACTGAGAACATCTTGTTAATTTGAGTGAAAGGTGTTTACAACTGTACATTAATACCTTGCATCATCGATGTACCTCATTATCCTCACAATGCTACGATACGTAACCTCAGACAAGAAGCGAAAGCGTGACGACAGCCAGTTGACCGATGCAGATCAGTCGAGCGGATCTGCCAAACCCTCAAAGTCTGGACGATCATTTTGTAAGTCGTGGCTAACGACTTTCACTTGGTTGACATACAATGAGGATTTGCAGATTTTCAGTAGCTAGTCGTATATTGAATCTTGATTGACCGCCATTTTGCTTTCTCGGACGATCGATATCCAATTTTTTTATGGTCATTAATTAAGTACAGATGAAAAAAGTATTCAAATAACTATTGCTATCAACGATATTTAGAATTGGTGATTAAATTATCCGTCTTGTTTTTAAAAAAATCTATAGTTTAAAAAAAAACTTTTCCCGTGAGGTCACGTGATAACCAAATATGGGATAATAGTCTTGATCCAAATGTTACAACGCGTACACTTGAGCAGACTCATGAATATAACTCATGAATATTAATTAGACCATTCACTACGTTAACAGATCGTTATTATAACAGAAACAAACGTATGTTTTCCATGTAAATCTAAAATGATATTATTTGTTATTAATTGTCCGGTGAATTAAACAATTTAAATTGAAACAATTCATAATTCATCATATTATGAATACATAAACTTGTAATGTGTGTGAAAAGTCGTACTAAAATACGCTATTTGAAGGGGGCGTGGCCTAAATGCAAATGTCCGATTGAGATTTTAAATTTTCCGGACCCCTGGTCTGAATGTGTCTCTGTGTGTCTGCCTGTGTATCGCTATGTCTTTGGATGTCTGTGCATGCATTCATATGTCTCTGTTTGTGTCTGTGTGTCTATGTGTGTGTGTCCCTGTCTGTCTGTCTGTCTGTCTTGGATCGAACAACCAACCTTCCACTGTCAGTTTTAAATTTGAACAATATTTAGGGACTGGGTGGGGTGGTGGGTGGTGTCATGACAAATGTTACACATATTTATAGGGATGGGGAGGAGAATATTGAAATCAGATTTCACCTTCTTGTACAAACTGGGATGTCATCATTTGAGTCAGGTGAGCTGAACATTGTAGGATTTTCCCTTTATTTTAACTTCAATCAACAACCCTAGGTTTTGAGAAAAAGTATAGATCTGTAAACCAACAGATAGAAAAGAAAGGCCTTACCGTTCTTGAGGTATGTATTAGCCCTACATTCTTTTGCCTTCACACAGTTGCAGGGATTGTCCCCGGTGTAGCCATTTTCCTCGTCACACCGGCAAGGAAGATGACATCCCTTTGTGGACATCGTACTGTGTGGCACAGACTCTGAATGACCGAAACAATATCAGCTTATCAGAAAGTTATAGACAAATATTTAGCATTTGAAATGAAAACACAATTAGAGATTATATATATATGTAGCTAAATTGTCTTTTAACGTAAAATAAGAAGGTGCCAAGAGAATCCATTCATTTTCAAAAACTTGCCAACCAAAGTATTGCAGATTTACTTGGGAGGCAAAAAGAAATTCCAGTGTTTGTATGAAGGACTAAGAAAGTACAATACTCAGTCCTCAAACACACAGTACTATTTGTCTTCTGTGACTATTTGTTTGTTTGTTTGTTTAACACAATACTCAGCAATAATCCAGCTTTAAGACGGCGGTTTGTAAATAATCGCGTCTGGACCAGACAATCCAGTGAGTGACATCATGAGCATTGATCCACGCATTTGGGATACGATGACATGCATCAACCAAGTAAGCGAGCCTGACCACCCGATCTGTTAGTCACCTCTTTTGACATAGTCGCCTTTCACATCAAGCATTGGTTGCTGAAGACCTATTCTACCCTGGATCTTCACAGGTCGTCTTATTCCTAGGTATATGAGGGGGCGGTCGGGTAGCCTAGTGGTTAAAGCGTTCGCTCGTCACGCCGAAGACCCGGGTTCGATTCCCGACATGGGTACAATGTGTGAAGCCCATTTCTGGTGTCCCCCGCCGTGATATTGCTGGAATATTGCTAAAAGCGGCGAAAAACCATACCCACTCACTCACTAGGTGTATGAGATTTATTGTATTCCTGTCATACAGCAACTATTCTATTAATGAAAAAATCCAAAGTACAGTCTTTTGAGGTGCAACTCAACATCGAAGGTTGTATTCCTATTAAATTGTAACCACTGTTTCTATGTATGTCTGTGATAAAAACTTACATAAACGAAAAAATGACTTACCCGGGGGACATTCTTGAAGGGACAGGTAGCAGGACACGGGGAACTCGGACGTTGTGTTGTCCAGTTGTACCAAGCCCTTCCTACAACGTAGGCACCTGTCTGACTGTCCGTTTTCCAAGCAAGGCTTTATCTCATTACCTGTAATCAACGCAGAGGGACATCAAGCAGGGTTAACCCCATATATTTCTTCGAGTACCGGGGAATCTCATTAACAACTTATGTAACAGACCACCTTCGTGATATGCTAGGTCCTAGAAGAGAACAATATTGCTTTTCTTCCATATTGATGTCCCATTTCCATTAATCTGAATACTTTTCTAGAATAGCTAGCTCTTCATCATCAAAATGGAGAAAAACAATTGAGTTAACATACAGCCTTGTCTTAGACCATTAAGGCAATAAAACAACAAACAATGGCACAATGAAACAATACAGTGGTCCCTCGCTACAACGCTACCTTGGGGGTCCAAATATTCAATGAGCGTTACAGACGATCAGCTGTTTAGCCAAGATGGAGTCACAGGGGGTAGATGACCAACACAACAGTACATACTTTCTGTGCCTGCTTAACACAATCTACGCTGCACATTCCAGAGTTTGAGGAAAGATTAAAATATAGTCGTTTATGATTCATAGTGTTAAAAAATATTTATTGCCTGTTATGCTCAGCAACACATGCAGTATCCCTTCAAGAAATTCAGGTGAACGAACAAATATAACAAACTTGGACAATAAAAAATGAGATAAAACATCATTAGACATTATGATTTACCATTCAAATTGGATTTCTTTTTCTGCTAGGCATTGTTTTATATGCAGAGATTATGAATAATGTGTGCATTGTCTCGTACACTGAGCCAGAAACAGCAAACAGCTGTTCACACATTTTATCCCAATCTACCGGCGATTCGGTTAAAAGTTTTTTGATGCAATGATCGGAAGAATTGTATCTGAAACTAATATTTTATCAGGAATAATATATTTTAGTATCGTGTACTTTCAGTTGCAGGTTTATTATATATATACTAGCCACATAAAGAAACTGTGCACGGAGAAAATATATTCTGGATTGAAATACAACACAGCAAGAACAAAATGATGCAGACGCTGTAGCAGCTGAATGATCGGACCATAAGAAAATGTCAACGGGACCTGAACAACATCTGTTACGATGACGTCAGAAGATCAAAATGGAGTAGGGTCAAACGATAAAGTCACAAAGTCAATAACGGGTATGACCACCCTGTATGTGAATCACAGCAGTGCATCGGCGACGCATGGAGTCCACCAAATGGGCATGGAAGGCCTGGGGAATGGCCTGCCATATCCTCCTCAAATCCTGTGCCAAGTGACGGACGTTATCTGGAGGATGTGGAAGACGACGCAGACGGAGCTCCATTTCATCCCACACATGCTCTATTGGGGAGAGATCTGGAGAATTTGCAGGCCATGGCAGTAACATGACATTGTTATAGTGAAGGAAACCCATTGCGACCCTAGCCGTGTGAGGACGAGCGTTGTCCATGACGTTGCAGGAAAGGAATGACCACAGGCCTCAGAATCTGATCTCTGTAGCCAACACCGGGTGAGATTGCCCTGAACAACCACCAAAGGGGTTCGGTGCCGTGCTGTTATCCCACCCCAAATCATCACAGAGCCACCTCCAAAACGATTCCTCTCCACAATACAGTTGCGTGCATAACGTTCTTCCAAACGCCGATAGACACGTTGGCGCCCGTCACTGTCGGAAATGTTGAACCTCGATTCATCTGTAAAGACAACATTTCTCCACCATATTCGAGGTTGGCGAACATGATTTCGACACCATCTTAGACGGTTGACTCGATGACAGTGTGTCAGCTGCAGGATGGGAAATATGGCAGGGCGTCGTGGTCGAATCCCGTACTGACGTAAACGATTCCTGACAGTGTTGGGATGGATACGGCGCAGTCCAGGAATTGTCTGGGACGTCGTTACTGCCGTTTGGAACCTGTGTCGGAGATGTGTAACTCGAATCCATCTGTCCTGTCTTGGCGTCGTTACTCGGGGACGTCCTGAACGTGGGTGGTCGGCAACGTCATTTGTGTTCTGATAACGCCTCACCAATGCCGATATCGTGTTACGATGGCATTGGAAATGTGTTGCCACCTGTTGTTGCCTCATTCCCGCTCGGATCATTCTAATGGCTTCATGACGCTGTGCAGCTGTCAATCTTGGCATGATTTGCTTGTGATATGCTTGTGTCTGCGCCTGAGAAGTTTTGAATTTTTGAATGACCACAGATCATGCTTTCCAAAGTGACAGCGAATTTTGAGTTGCACATGCTGTGTACAGCTGCACATGCAGGATGCACGTGCAGTAACCCATTGCACGTCCATAGGCCCCCATCAATGACGTTATATCGCATGGCACGTGCATGAGCTTTTAAATGTCTCCAATACTTGCTGTGTTCAAACCTATATTTCATATATGGACGGTGTGCCCTTTTATCTATATTTTCTCCGTGCACAAGTTTCTTTATGTGGCTAGTATATATAACAAATAAAAATAATTTGGTACAACTGACCGCTCTTGCCGAATATTTTAATGAATGGAACAATTTAACTAGTCACCGCTGAGGATCATGCGCTCTCAATAGCAAAACCTTTGTTGACATAACAGTCAATCTACTGCAACAAATATTACTTTTAACGGGTCAAAGTATGGCTGTTATGATATATGTATCCATTCTCTGGCAACAAAAGTTTGTTTCAAGGCATCAATAGTGGTAATCTGACCATGGTTGCTGTAAGTAACCGGAAGTTGTGCGATCTACCGATCCCTTCACACACCGAAATTAATGTAAACAATATTGAATGAAATTTTGAATAAAATTAATGAAATATGTTACAAACATCAGCATGATCAGTCACGATATACTGGTACAAGAAACATGTTTTTATAACCAGATAGTGTAGTTATAGGATTAAATTGCAGACTTCAGTTCGGATATGTTGATTGGTATTTCCGGAGTTACCTGCTCACAGTGATCAGCTGGGTTTTTTTGTGATGGGGGAAAAAACATTGTGTCAGTGTAAAACTTGAGTTTATTAAAAATGGACATAAATGTTTGGAGCCATGCACTACAGGGCACTATAACCGAGCTAGTGCTATGTTGAAGGGCACAATAGCAAGGGAACACTGTACGTGAGTTTACATAAGCCTTGTCGCAAATAATTGGACCTGGGTTGGAGCCAAAACGTATATCTATAGGCTGTCATGTGATGAAATCTTGGGCAATGAAAACAGGGGAAATTTGCTATATAATAAACAGCCTTGTCTTAGTCCAATGGGAAAATACAACATACGAGTTAACATAAGCCTTGTCTTACTCCAATGGGGAAATACAACATACGAGGTAACATAAGCCTTGTCTTTCTCCAATGGGGCAATACAACATACGAGGTAACATAGGCCTTGTCTTACTCCAATGGGGAAATACAACATACGAGGTAACATAGGCCTTGTCTTACTCCAATGGGGAAATACAACATACGAGGTAACATAGGCCTTGTCTTACTCCAATGGGGAAATACAACATACGAGGTAACATAGGCCTTGTCTTTCTCCAATGGGGAAATACAACATACGAGGTAACATAGGCCTTGTCTTACTCCAATGGGGAAATACAACATACGAGGTAACATAGGCCTTGTCTTACTCCAATGGGGAAATACAACATACAAGGTAACATAGGCCTTGTCTTACTCCAATGGGGAAATACAACATACAAGGTAACATAGGCCTTGTCTTTCTCCAATGGGGAAATACAACATAGGAGTTAACATAGGCCTTGTCTTACTCCAATGGGGCAATGACACATGGGAGTTAACATAAGCCTTGTCTTCCTCCAATGGGGCAATGAAACATATGAGTTAACATAAGCCTTCTCTTTCTCCAATGGGGAAATACAACATACGAGGTAACATAGGCCTTGTCTTACTCCAATGGGGCAATGAAACATAGGAGTTAACATAAGCCTTCTCTTTCTCCAATGGGGAAATACAACATATGAGGTAACATAGGCCTTGTCTTACTCCAATGGGGAAATACAACATACAAGGTAACATAGGCCTTGTCTTACTCCAATGGGGCAATGAAACATATGAGGTAACATAGGCCTTGTCTTACTCCAATGGGGAAATACAACATATGAGGTAACATAGGCCTTGTCTTACTCCAATGGGGAAATACAACATATGAGGTAACATAGGCCTTGTCTTTCTCCAATGGGGAAATACAACATACGAGGTAACATAGGCCTTGTCTTACTCCAATGGGGAAATACAACATAGGAGTTAACATAAGCCTTGTCTTTCTCCAATGGGGCAATGACACATATGAGTTAACATAAGCCTTGTCTTTCTCCAATGGGGCAATGAAACATATGAGTTAACATAAGCCTTGTCTTTCTCCAATGGGGCAATGAAACATATGAGTTAACATAAGCCTTGTCTTTCTCCAATGGGGAAATACAACATATGAGGTAACATAGGCCTTGTCTTTCTCCAATGGGAAATACAACATACAAGGTAACATAGGCCTTGTCTTTCTCCAATGGGGAAATACAACATATGAGGTAACATAGGCCTTGTCTTACTCCAATGGGGAAATACAACATACAAGGTAACATAGGCCTTGTCTTACTCCAATGGGGAAATACAACATACGAGGTAACATAGGCCTTGTCTTACTCCAATGGGGAAATACAACATAGGAGTTAACATAAGCCTTGTCTTTCTCCAATGGGGCAATGACACATATGAGTTAACATAAGCCTTGTCTTTCTCCAATGGGGCAATGACACATATGAGTTAACATAAGCCTTGTCTTACTCCAATGGGGCAATACAACATACAAGGTAACATAGGCCTTCTCTTACTCCAATGGGGAAATACAACATATGAGGTAACATAGGCCTTGTCTTTCTCCAATGGGGAAATACAACATACGAGGTAACATAGGCCTTGTCTTACTCCAATGGGGAAATACAACATACGAGGTAACATAGGCCTTGTCTTACTCCAATGGGGAAATACAACATACAAGGTAACATAGGCCTTGTCTTACTCCAATGGGGAAATACAACATACAAGGTA